GGATACGGATACATTGGACGTATATACCTTGAAATGACACTTTTGTCTTACTCTTCACAGTCCTGTTATCCGAGATCTCCCTACACAGTGGACTAGTGTGCAGCGTACTTCTCTAAATCACATACTGTTATCATTATTTCTACTGTTACATATTATGCATCTGCTTTATTGTAGGACTTTGTTTCAGGATGATCTACAATTTAATTACATGTCTTGGTCCCGTCTGCGTTACGGGAGAACATGTAAGAGGTACATTCGCGGACTGTGATCCGTATCTGTATATGATTTGTTAAGCCTTTCATATTTCAATAAAACTTTTTTGGAATAAAAAAAAAAAAAATTCAAAACATTAACAATAACATATAAAGTCATTTATAACTCTGCCCAAATTACATCACCAATATTGTCTCTCCAAATATCACCCAAACCGTACTCTCCGCTCCTCACACAACCTCCTGCTCTCTAGCTCCCTTGTCTCCTCCTCCCATGCTCATCTCCAGGACTTCTCCAGAGCTTCCCCCATCCTCTGAACTCTCTACCCCAATTTATCAGACTATCGCCTACTCTGCTCACTTTTAGGCAATCTCTGAAATCCTCTCTCTTCAGGGAAGCATATCCTGCCCTCAGCTAATAATGGAATCTTCTACTCTTCCAACCAGTCCATCCCCCACAGTTAGTACCTTTTTTGTACCACTAGCCCCTCCCTCCTAGATTGTAAGCTCCAAGGATCAGGGCCCTCCTATCCCTCTTGTATTTAACTGTATTGTTGCTGTATTGTCTCCCGTTATATTGTAAAGCGCTGAGCAAACTGTTGGCGCTATATAAATCCTGTATAATAATAATAATGAGAGGAGAAATGTGGAAAGAAGGCATTGATAATGGGAGAGGAGATGGAACATGTAATGGGAGGAGTGGACAAGGTGGGCTTAGCTGGAGACCTCAAGCCTGGCTGATGATGTATCAATAGTCAGAAGAACCTGGAATGGACTCTCCCACTGAGGCTTCAGAGACTTGGTAAGATGACAATAGACCCCATCCTAGTCTCTGGTACTGAGGCAGTGTTGGTCATGTATTACCTCAGGATCCAGAAATGAAGAAAATGCTTGGAAACACAACTCAGTTGGTGAATCATGAAAATGCATTACATGTTCATTCAAAGCTCCATAAAAAAAGATAAAGATGAGAATCATGAGGGAAGCTGTTCAGTTATTGATGCTTATCTTAAAAAAATTGTCAAAAGATAAAATATTCAAATCCCTTCTAGTTGTGTATTGATGGACATAAGCACTAAACTCAGTTCATCCAATCATTACATTCCAGTTTGCTCAGATTTTAGTTTGTTTCTTTCTCTCCAGTGTGAATCCTCTGGTGTGTGATAAGATGTGACTTCTGTGTAAAAGCTTTATCACATTCAGAACACTGATATGACTTCTCTCCAGTGTGAACCCTCTGGTGTGTGATAAGATCTGACTTCTGTGTAAAAGCTTTATCACATTCAGAACACTGATATGCTTCTCTCCAGTGTGAATCCTCTGGTGTGTGATAAGACTTGACTTCCTGTGTAAAAGCTTTATCACATTCAGAACACTGATATGACTTCTCTCCAGTGTGAATCCTCTGGTGTGTGATAAGATTGACTTCTGTGTAAAAGCTTTATCACATTCAGAACACTGATATGACTTCTCTCCAGTGTGAATCCTCTGGTGTGTGATAAGATGTGACTTCACTGTAAAAGCTTTATCACATTCAGAACACTGATATGACTTCTCTCCAGTGTGAATCCTCTGGTGTGTGATAAGATTTGACTTCACTGTGTAAAAGCTTTATCACATTCAGAACACTGATATGGACTTCTCTCCAGTGTGAATCCTCTGGTGTGTGATAAGATTTGACTTCTGTGTAAAAGCTTTATCACATTCAGAACACTGATATGACTTCTCTCCAGTGTGAATCCTCTGGTGTGTGATAATTGTCTGACTTCCATTGTAAAAGCTTTATCACATTCAGAACACTGATATGACTTTCTCTCTGTGTGAATCCTCTGGTGTGTGATAAGATGTGACTTCAGTGTAAAAGCTTTTGCCACATTCAGAACACTGATGATATGACTTCTCTCCAGTGTGCTCTGAGGCTGTGTGTGATAATTTTGACTTCATTGTAAAAGCTTTATCACATTCAGAACACTGATATGACTTCTCTCCATGTGAATCCTCTGGTGTGTGATAAATTGACTTTTGTAAAAGTCATTCACATAAACTCTCCAGTGTATGTCCTCTGGGTTTGATTTTGATGTGACTCTGCTAAAATATCATTCAGAACACTGATATGGCTTCATGACCCAGTGATTCACTCATCCTGTGGTGTGTGAAAGAATTAAATTGTGTAAAAGTTTTCTATATAAACATACAGAAAGATATGCTTTCTCTCCATGTGTCATTACTAAGCTCTGGTGTATGATAGAAAGAATATGACAGACATTGTATAAAAGTATTTCACATTCAGAACACTGATATAGATTTTATTAGTGTGAAACTCTTTGGTGTACTATAAAGGTTCTCTCCTTGTAAAAGTTTTGCCACCCAACAATGACAATATATGACTTCCCTCCATTGTGAACCTATTACAGTGTGTGATATATTTTTTTCTCTCCATGTAAAATCTCCAAAAAGAAGTATAAACAAATGACAGAGAAAAGAAGAAACTTATGTCATCCTTACCTAGTCCACTTTATTTTTTCAGTAATGGGTTTGCAGTTGTTGTACAGGGTTGTTGGACAGTATTAGTATAGGCAGTTGTAAAACAGAACAATAACTTGCTTTGTCTATGGTGTCACTTTTTAAAAAATGAACTTCCAGAAAAACAACCTAGAACAATTCAGCTGTACACGGCAAGTTTCCCCCCCCAGTACATACATAGATAGCTGACACCGATCAATGTGGAAGTGTCTACAGGATCATACCCCAAGTATGGGTTTCCAATGTAGTCACCATTCAGTAGGATACAACTGGCCGTTCTCCTTCTATGGGGCTAAAAAAGCTAAAGTTTTAAAAACCTATGATGTTTTAATGTGGAGATCACCTGCTCAATCCACTGTGTCTGCTGGGAGTTTGAGATGATAGCCAAGATCGGGATATTTTTTATGGTCAAGGGCTACACTATTGCTATATGACTTGTAATAGGAGGAGGTGTAAAAAATATCCTCCTTATGAGAAAGAGGCACACCCGAGGAATATTGAACACCAACATTACAATACTGGTCATATCGTTCCACTTTTTATAATTTTGGTTCTCCAAAGTGTGCACAAATCCCAACATTCACCCTACAATTGGGGTCATAAGGGGAACATTCTCATGTTTTTTTCTATGTGTGTAACCTTAAATAAATTATATTACTTTTTACAGTCAAAAGCTGCGAATAAATATATGAGTCAGTCCACACATCACTGGTCATACCTGGAGCCCTAACAAGTGTGAGAGTGATGTGAAATCTGTATCTGATGGAAGTAGCAACCGATGGATGGGATCTAATGTGTCTACTAAGTCCCACCTGGTAAGATGTTGAAGTTGGGCAGCTATAATATAAAGTCTAACATTTGGTATTGCTAGGCCTCCTTGGTCTTCACCATACTGTAGAGTAGTGAGTTTGATTCTAGCTGACGGCTTCTTCTAAATGAGTTCCCCAAACTGGGAGTCTATACTGGAGAACCACTTACGAGGTGTCCACATGGGAGAATTGTGGAGTATATAGAGGAATTGTGGGGTCCATATCTTCTCTTGTTCATAGATTTTATTGGAAAGAGATAATAGTTTTACAAGGAGCTGATAACAATGTGATTGCAGGACTCACCAACAGTAAGTCAGAAGGGGTACAACCCTTAGAGGTAACGTACAGGTTGTAATTTGTACAGTACAAATAATATCTTCATACATTAAAGTGGAGTTCCAGTGAAAATAAAAAAAAAATAAAAGTCAGCAGCTACAAAAACTGTAGCTGCTGACTTTTAAAAGACGGGCACTTACCTGTCCCTCGATCTCGTGGTGTCCTCCCCGCAGCCCGTTTCACCGGCCGCCCTGTGTTTCCAGTGCCGGCATCTTCAGTGTGGGCACCCAGCTGTGACAGCTTGCGGCTTCACATCCGGGTGCCCACTGAGCATGTGCGAGTATCTCTGTGCTTTGTGAATGGTCCTGTAGTCTTCTAGGACCTTTCATGTGTCCCAGAAGACTACAGGGAGGGGAGGGGGGAGGACAACTTCCGCTTCTGATCACCTAGGTGATTGCAGTAGAAGTGGGAGCGGGTACCTGTCAATTTCGGTTACCCCCCCAAAAGGTGCCAGTGGGGTCCTTAATCACTTGCCTACCAGGCACTTATACCCCCTTCCTTACCAGGCCAATTTTCAACTTTCAACGTTGCCACACTTTAAATGACAATTGTGCGGTCATGCAACATTGTACTCATTTTTATTTTTTTTTTTGACACAAATAGAGCTTTCTTTTGGTGGTCTTTACTCCCCGCTGGGTGTTTTATTTTTTGTGCTATAAACAAAAAAAGAGCAAAAAAAAAAAAAAAAAAAAAAGTTTCTTTGTTTCTATTTATAACATTTTGCAAACAGGTAATTTTTCTCCTTCACTGATGTGCACTGCACACAGGCGGCACTGATAGGCAGCACTGATATGTGGCACTGATAGGCAACACTGATAGGCAGCACTGATGAGGCACTGATAGGCACACTGGCACTGATAGGTGCCAGTGGGGTCCTTAACCCACTTGCCTACCAGGCACTTATACCCCCTTCCTTACTAGGCCAATTTTCAGCATTGTCGCACTTTAAATGACAATTGCGCGGTCATGCAACATTGTACTCATTTGAAATTTTTATCATTTTTTTTTACACAAATAGAGCTTTCTTTTGGTGGTATTTACTCCCCGCTGGCTGTTTTATTTTTTTGCGCTATAAAAAAAAAAAAAAAAAAAATTTGAAAAAAAAGTTTCTTTTTTTTCTATTATTTAGCAAACAGGTAATTTTTCTTCTTCACTGATGTGCGTTGATGAGGCTGCACTGATAGGCAGCACTGATAGGCAGCACTGATGGGCACTGATAGGCAGCACTATGATGAGGCGGCACTGATGATGGGCACTGATGAGGGCACTGATAGTGTTGCACTGCTGGGCACTGCACTGGCACTGACTGGGGCACTGCTGGGCGGCACTGGTGGGCAAAGGTGGGTGGCACTGCTGGGCACTTGTGGGCGGAACTGGTGGGTGGGTGGCGCTGCTGGGCACCGATCCTCAGGGCACTGATCATAAGTGCCCTGATGATCCCCCTCTCTGACAACTGCTGGCAGTACCTTCCTCATGCTCTGACAGCGTGAGGAAAGTGCAGTCGAGAACCGGCAACTGCAATTCCCGATGACCAGCGTGTCATAGGACACAGCGATCATGGAGATCGCCAGGTTCATGCCCCCCCGGGGGCATGCAGGAGAGCGCATTCTGGGAGGACATCATATGAGATTTCTACATGGCAAATAATTTCCTAGCAGGTGTAGTAGTGTAGTAGAGTCATAGAAATCCAACAGACCCAACAGTCATGACATGCATGCTGCTGATTCTGTGTCATTGAATCACTCATTGAAAGGGGCGTGTTCAAAATAATAGCAGTGTGGAGTTCTATTAGTGAGGTCATTCATTCTTTGATAAACAGGTGGCAATTATTGCCCTTATTTAAGGAAGGAAGGCAGCAAATGTTGGACATGCTGGTTACAGTGCATTTCTCTCTGAAATTCTGAGGAAAATGGGTCGTTCCAGACATTGTTCAGAAGAACAGCGTACCTTGATTAAAAAGTTGATTGGAGAGGGGAAAACATATAAAGAAGTGCAGAAAATGATCGGCTGCTCAGCTAAAATGATCGCAAATGCTTTAAAATGGCAACCAAAACCTGAAAGACGTGGAAGAAAGCGAAAAACTACCATTGGAATGGATGGAGCCAAAAGAAGAATAGCCAAAATGGCGCGGACTCAGCCAACAATCAGCTCCAGGAAGATGAAAGAAGGTGTGACGTTCCCTGTGAGGACTGTTACAATTAGAAGACGCCTATGTGAAGCCAAGCTATCTGCAAGAAGTCCCCGCAAAGTCCCACTGTTGGGAAAAAAGACGTGTGCTGAAGAGGTTACAATCTGCCAAAGAGCACATTGACTGGCCTAAAGAGAAATGGCGCAACATTTTGTGGACTGATGAAAGTAAGATTGTTCTTTTTGGGTCTAGTGGGCGGAGACAGTTTGTCAGACGACCCCCAAACACTGAATTCAAGCCACAGTACACTGTGAAGACAGTGAAGCATGGTGGTGCAAGCAAGCATCATGATATGGGGATGTTTCTCATACTACGGTGTTGGGCCTATTTATCGCATACCAGGGATCATGGATCAGTTTGAATACATCAGAATACTTGAAGAGGTCATGCTGCCTTATGCTGAAGAGGAAATGCCCTTGAAATGGGTGTTCCAACAAGACAACGACCCCAAACACACCAGTAAAACGTGCAACATCTTGGTTCCAGACCAACAAGATGGACGTTATGGAGTGGCCAGCCCAATCCCCGGATCTTCATCCAATAGAAAACTTGTGGGGTGACATCAAAAATGCCGTTTCTGAGGCAAAACCAAGAAAAATAGAGAAGAACTGTGGAATGTGGTCCAATCATCCTGGGCTGGAATACCTGATCACAGGGGCCAGAAGTTGGGTGACTCCATGCAACACAGATGTACAGCAGTTCTCAGAAACAGTGCGACTACAACCAAATATTCATGAAGTCATTCAAAGGAAAGCAAAATCTTCAAACATTTCTCAGTTTATATTTTTTTTTAGAGGAACAACACAAATTTGATGTATTTTTCTTCATGTTGTGATTTGGAATAGAATGTGTCGTGTTCCCAATGCATTTGTGTGGATGGAAATAAAAGCTATTAGAAGGATTTTCAGCTTTAGTCACTTTTTCCAACACACTGCTATTATTTTGAACACAACTGTATATGGTATGAAGTGTAAGGTGGTGGAGCTGGTAGCTGTGTATATAAAGGTGGAAATCAAACCTCTGACATGGGGGTCACATTTACATATGTTATGTGACAGTAGGCAGGTGAAATCACCTGGTTGCGATAG